TTTCAGCAGGGCTGTGTGTAACACAACACATGGGTCCAGATGAACTAACCACACAGTAGTTAGCCAGCTACGTTAGCCAGTACATTCAGTCTGCTTGTGAACTAAGGCTACTAAAGCTAGCTTTATGTAAATGTACTACTAATCATTAAGTCTGGCTAATTAACTAGCTAGGTAATTAGCAGACACTCCAGTCCTCAACCAAGAACTACAACAGGGGTAAGAAGAGTACTGACTACATTATTTTAATCCGAATTAAACATTTTCTGTCAAACATAAGCTTTTTTGAGCATGTCTCATTGCATTGTGTGGTCATGAGGTCAGGTCGGATTTGAAGCACTGAACTCACGGGCAGTGCTGGTGTGGTAATACCTCTGGCCAGATGCTGATGATGTGGAACTGACAGGTGCCATTTTCAAAGGTCATTAGGGATTTTAATCCTGCTCAGGGCTTGAGCTGCGTCCCTGAAACCATGAACTGCTTAGGTTTAGAGGTTTAGTTACATATTTCATTCTCATAAATATGCTATTTGATATTTTACAGTTAATCTGCGCACCATTTGTAAACCCTAATCCCGTTAGCTTGAAATTTGGTTGAGTAAAGACAAAAAGCAGACAACTACATCAACGGCCTGGTCTCGGTGTACTGTGTGAAACACAACACCTGGGTCCAGATTACAACAGTAACTCTCTCCCTATTAACGCATTGGTGCTGCCAGTCTGCTGCAGGGTTCAGTGATGCCCAACTGGATGAGCCCCAGGCTGTTTGACCTGTAGTGATCCTTGCCGTCTGTGTTAGGCCTGTGGTGCTCTTGGCTGTGGGATGTGTGGACACGTGAGGCAAGTCTGAGTTATGTAAACGGCCTGCTTTCAAATTGGCAGGGCCCAGCATCTGTATGCTGCGTGCATTTCACCTTCTTAACTGTTCCCCAGCAGCCATTCATGCCCTGCAACTTGTCTTATTGACTTAGGCCCAATCCCATTTCACCCCTCGCCCCTACCACTTAGCCCTTAGCCCTCTGTTTTGCGTGTTCATGTCTAGGGGTAGGGTGTCCCAATTTTTGTTAAGATAGAGGGTGAGGGTGAAGTGTTAGGGCTACATCACCTTTCAAACGGAGGTTTTTCAGAGACTCCAAACAGAGAGTTATGAGAAAAAAAGAAAAACCGGCAAGATGGCTGTGCGAGCGACCAAAGAAACCCACAAATGTGAGAATTTTCTCCGTTAAAAAATGACAAAAACCACTGTATTATCTTAGTTTAATGTCGTTTCAATGTATCATGGTTGTTTCCTTCATAACAAGCATAAAAAATTGCTAATAGCATGCTGATGTCTCGGTAGCTAGCTAGCTAATTTTCCGATTCCACCTTAAATAGTCCAGCAGTTCTGATGCCTGAAGCGCCAGAATGTAACTGCTTCACCATTGAAGGTGGAACGGGAAAATTCAAACAAGAAGCTGGTGAATATCTGACTTCAGCTTCATATCCCTGAAGAATTAGGTGTGGGTGGTAATAAATAATTGCCCCCTTCTTTGAAAGCATATGATGCCCTAAATGTAACTAAAGCCCAGCAGTGAGGAGCTGAACTTTTCCCTTCTCTGCTATCACGGAAGACGGGCCGGGTCGTCTAGAGAGCAGCGCTAGTAGCTGTTAATGAAGTAATGCTCTTTTTATTTGAGGGTCCCATTTCGTAGGGCAACATTTCAAACACTACCCCTTGTAACTCAGTTTCAAAGGGTTAAGGTGACACTCGAAAGCGAGGGGTAGGGTTAAAAAGAATGGATTGGGCCTTAGTCTGTGCTATATGAGCTCTGCTATGACCACATTAACCATGCAAAGTGGATTAGATTCTATGTATCCACTGTTAAACTGAACACTAGATTTTGCCTGTTACATGCATATTGCTCTGGTGATGGTTGGTCTTGCAACGCCTATGACTGATTTATCCATGCCCCGCCCACTAACATTCTTTTGTAGCAACTGTTGCCATGTTGGATGAGCTTCACAGAACATTTAGACTGGAATTTAGATTTGATACATAACAGTGAGTGTCCTGTTTAAACTGCTACACTCCCAACTTGGACTATTTTGTTGTAGTGAACCAAAACTAGGCAGGTTTGAAACAACAAATTGCAACGATGTTCATGTTAGATCAAAAAAATTTCTTTCACATGCATTATGTAAAGCACACACAACTGGGCAACAGCTGTTATGACAGAATGCCTCTGTGGGTAGACCATGTTCCTCAGGTGTGAGAGGAACTGTAGTCTTTGTCGTGCCCATATCAGGAACCCCAGATCACCAGATTTCTCTATGGGAAAATGAATGGTGTTTTCAAAACTTGCTATTACACCCTGTGGTAAACAAAAATGTTCCAAAGCTGATTCATTTTGCTGTGAGGACATTTTTCCTCCGAACATCACTGGATCGTCTGAATTACGAGGCTGTTGAACCAAAATACAAATATTGCTACATGCAAGCTAACAGTTAGTGCGTTTACATGCACTTAATAATCCTAACTGCAGAAAATCTTTTACTTGAGTAATCAGATAATGTGAAATCTCCGGGTCTACGTGAGTCCGGTAGTAACTAGATTTCTGCTTTGCAACCAGACAATAAACTCACAGAAAACTATGTAAACATAATGTAAAACTTGTGCCACTTTACCCATAAATATGAACATACATCATCTAGGAAATGAAGAATATTTAAAGCCTCCCTTTCATCAAGCATGTAGTTGGTTGCTGCTCGCTTATTTCCGGTACCGCAGTCTGTTTTCGCACATGCACAGACTGAGAAATCCGAAAGAAATCAGAGTAAGAGTTTACATGCACTGAGAAATCTGATCACTGAGCTAAAATCCAGCTCTCTTTATCAGATTTCTCTGATAAACCTTACTCCAGTCTAAGAAATCAGAGTGTACTGTTTATGTGACCATTTGAATAATCAGATAAGCACAGAAATACGATTATGATCAGATTATTGAGAGCATGTAAACACACTGCTGGACAGTAAATTGACATTGTTAGACTGGCAACCATAATATAAAATACAGGGCAGTAGCAGCCTACACTTTGAATAGCTGGTGTTGGTATATAATAGTGTTTAAGTTTAATAGTAAGCAGGAAACTTTGTTTTATGTGACATCATAACGTGTCATTTTAGGCAGTATGTGTGTAGCAATATTCATATTTCGACTCATAAACTACCTCATAATTCAGAGGATCCAGTGATAGTCAGGGGAAACATGTTCACAGGATGTATTAGCTTTGGAATTTGTTTACCACAGACCACGATGGTGGCGATTTTCAAGCATGCCATTCATTTTTCTCATAGAGAAAATCTGCTTGGGCCTGGGGTTCATAATATGAGCATGAGGCCATGGGTCTGTACAGCTGAAACTGTAGAATTACATTCATCAGAAGCTTGATATTAAATTTGAAAAACTGAGTAGTATTGTATATTATTGCAGTGCATTATTATTTTGCAAACATTCCCCATATCAAGCCCGTGTCCAATTAATAACACAGAGCTGTAACTGGCTTCTGGTTTTCTATTAAACATTACAGAAACTACCGTCAAACTGACATTTCTTCTGTTATTCTTACAATCATTTTAACCTCTGTTAAAAACCCATAAGGAGCGAGTGCTTATGCTTGAGTAAAACACACGTGTCAGGGTCCAGTCCTCGTGGGTCAAAACACTGCAGACTTCAGCTCACTGCCTCATTAAACACACCTGATTCAGCTCATTGGCTAATTAGCAAGGCCTTCATGAACTGAATGCAGAGTGGTAGATGAGGGTAAACGCTAATCTCCACAGCATTTAGGCCAGGAAGGTCGCCAGCTTGACACCCCATAATATAAAACATGCAATAAAAATGAAATAATTTATGGTTTCAGTATCCAACTTCAATAATATCTAATTAACAATAGCAAAAAAACGTCAATTAAACTGTAACTTTATCTGGTAATATAGCATTTATTGACTACATATACAGGCTTTGTAAACATGTGCTATCATACAAAGTCCAAACCCTTCTGGTCCTGATGATTCTTTTGTGCATAACTATGCACAAATGGCACCAACCTTCAAAAAGTCGAATTGCAGTGAGCTTCAAAGGAAACAGGCCTTAACCTTCCCTTCAAACACGAGATGCAGCATCTAAAGATGAACACTGATTCAGTCCAGAGTAAAACGCTGAACACAGGTAGAAAACCTCATCCAGAAGCGGCAACCTGATCCTACTGACTAATACAACTGCTAAGTGCGTTCTTTTACCCCAGTGTTGATACAGTTTGTGCAGCTTTCCTTTACATAAGGAATCTATTAAATGGATCGAGGTGGGGCTCATGCACACATTGGGCCTCATGTAAGAACCAGTTAAATGAACAGATTTGTTCCGAAGTGGCTCGTACAAGCAGTTTAAGAGAAATGTTGCATTCACAAACTTCCAGAGTTTCTCCAAAGTGAAAAAACTATGTTTTTGTGTGTCTTCCATTAATTTGAAGAACATTTGAGCTTGAATTTTATGATGTTAAATCATTTCAAGAGAAGGCTCTACCAAAACTGTAATGTAGCACTGTTGTCGAAGGAAATCTCCAAAATGGTAACTTTACAGGAGAAGGAAAAAACCTACTTTACTTTTAATGTAAGTCAATGGAACCAGAGTTTTTTCTAAGTCATTTTGGGCCGTTTCTTTTGATTCATTCTTCATGAAATTTACAAACAATATAAAGGACAACAGCTATTTTTAAATTATGTCAAAAACTGAAAAACGTCAAAAATCGGAGATACGAGGTTTTCTTCCGACAGCAGCGATAAGCAAAATGACAAACGACCCAGACTGTATAGTTTATATAGACTGTATACACTCTTAAAAAGAGGCTCCTTTAGTAAAAACAGTGGTTCTTTATAGAACCATGGACACTCAAAGAACTATTTGCATGATTAAAGGGTTCTTTGCATCATGAAATGGTTCTTCAGACTGATGGAGAATGTGTCGTATAGGGTTGCATACAGAACTTTTTTGAAAATGGTTCTGTGTTGCACCAAAAATGTTGCTTCTATTTTCACAAGATTGGCATCATAACAATAGCAGAACCCAAAAAGGTTCTATAGAGAACCATATACAACACGTTCTCAATCAATCTGAAGAACCATTTCACCATGCAAAGAACCATTTAAGCAGGAAATGGTTCTACATAGAGCTCATGGTTCTAAACAGAACCACTGCATGTACTAAAGAACCCTTGACAAGCCATGTTCAAGGGTTCCAAATCATAAACAGAATCATTGCCTTTGCTAAAGAACCCTTGAAGAACCATCTTTTTTAAGTGTGTATGCCAGCTCATGAGGGCAGGTTACATTCATCACATTAATGCAAATAATTTACGACTGTTTCACTAAAGTTAGGAGCTTTTTCTTGAATCTTTTGGGCGCAAATTTTGAGCCCAGTTTAATGAAAAAATTAGAAAATTAAAATATTAGTAAAAGTGTTCTTGCATGAGGTCCACCGTGCCCACATGGCCTTCCTGAGCTGTTGCTGAGTCATGTAGAAAAATCCAGAAGTAGCCTAACCTAATTGTACGTTTACATTTTCATATTTGGCAGATGTTCTCATTCAGAGTGACCGACAGTTTGATCGTGTTGTGGAGGTAGGCTAATGTAGCATTAGGAGTCTTGCCCAAGGACTCTTATTGGTGTAGCAGGCTTGCCCAGGAGGGAAGATGAACCAGAGTCTGCTGTGTGGAGGACAGCGGTGTTTACCAACCACTACAGACTGATGGACCTACTAAGTGCATATTATTACCTCAGTGTTGGTACAGTTTGTGTTCATGCCTTCCTTTATACCAGAGGTGCACAACTCTGGTCCTGGGGGGCCGGTGTCCAGCACAGTTTGGTGATTTACCTGCTGATTACACTCATCTGTTAAGCACCAGGTTTAGTGGGTGTGTTTGAGTAGAGAAACTACCAAATTGTGCTGGACACTGGCCCTCCAGGACCGGAGTTGTGCACCCCTGCTTTATACACAGTTTACCAAGTGAATCCTGTCAGCTGCTGCTGCTGCTGCTATACTAACGACTCGCAGACAGGCGCACTGTCCGAGTCCTGGCTGTGCATGGAGCTCAGTCCCGTGTCTGAATCGTCGTCGTTGCTGTTGCAGGTTTTTGAAAGGCCCCTGGCCTGCTCCACCCAGCCGCTGGGGCTTTGCGCGGAGGGGCCCTCTGTGTCCGTCCCGTCAACGTCCTTCATCCTTGCACATGCCTCCTCCTCGTCCTCCTCCTCGTCTTCCTCCTCCTCTAACTCCAGTGAGTCCACTTTCTCCAGCAGGTCCCTCAGCTCTTTATCCCTCGCTTCCCAGATCTCGTGAGTCAGGTCCAGCTCGTTCCTGACCGCCTCCAGGTCCGTGCTGAGCCTCAGGCCGATGTACAGGCTCGTGTCCAGCTCGGTTCTGACCTGTTCTTCCTCCAGCAGCGAGTCCTCCGCCCCCGAAGGCTCCTCGCGCCTGCGCTCCATCCACCGCCGGTTCAGCTCCTCCTCGATCTGGCTCATCAGGCTGGCCGCGAGAGCCTCGCGCTCGGCCAGTTCCTCGTGCAAGCGCACCACCTCCTCGCACTTGTCCGCGTACTCCTCCAGCCGCAGCGCGAGGACGACTCCCTCCGGGCGTGCGGTCACGCCCCCTCGCTCCTCGCGCCCTCCGTCCTGCTCGGCGCCCACTAGGTACGTGTCCTGCACGTAGTTGGCCCCGTGCGCCTTCACGCGGTCGAGGTGCACGCGCGCCTCGTGCCGGTCGATCTCGGCGTCGAGCTCCTCGAGCCTGCGGATCTGCTGGCGGATGGTGTGGTCCTGCGAGACCACCACGTGCACCAGCGTCTCCATCCTCTCGGCTGAGCGCGCGTCCTTGGCCACGGCTCGCGCGCGCCTCCTGTTCATCCTCTCGAGCTTCCTGAACGCCTTGCGGACGATCCGCCGCTGCCGCTCGCGCGTGAGAGCTGTGGCGGCGGTGGCGACGGAGGCAGTGGGGCACGAGGAGCCCGTGGAGGCGGCGGAGGCGCGCGCGCTCGCCCGGCACACGCGCGGGCTGTCCCGGCTCAGCACGACGCGCGCCTCCGCGCTCCGCGGCGCGCTGCCGGCCAGAGACGCCTCGCTCCTCACGAGCACGAAGCGCACGTTCTCCTGCTCGTCGCCCCACGCGCTCCACAGGCGCAGGATTTTGGTCTTGTGCGGCAGCACGCGCTCCGAGCCCCTCCACTTCTCCACGATGCAGTAGGAGCGCGGGCACGCCGAGGAGCTCTGCTCCTCCAGCAGCACCTTGATCACGTCGGCGCACGTGGTGCGCTTGGACAGACCGGACACGACCTTCTCCTCGCGGCAAACCCACACGGAGATCTTGCTCTCTTCAGGCTCCATGTCTCGCGCTTACTCCGGTAAGCTGGTGGAGCTTTTCGGTCCCCGTTGTCGGAGCTGAAGTGAATAAATGAACTAAACGGGACGAAACGATAAAAACTTTAAACTTCTACAAACTCAAACTGCAAACGCTACGGAAAAAGGTTCCAGAGCTCGCTCGCGCGGCGAGCGGACGTCCCGAGCACCAACCTCGCGCTCGCTTTGGCGAGCTGACGGCGCGAGCCGAGGCGCAGTTACAGTTAAGAGCAGCGTCGTTTTGTTTTGGATTTTTTTCTTTCCTTTTGCCGCCTGTATTCCGTCAAACCACGCCCACCTGAGCTGGGATTGGCCAGTGGTTTCCACTCACAGTCATAGCACTGTCGGCGTTTACCCCACAGGCCACGCCTTTCCGCGCTGGGATTGGCTATGATTGGTCACGTCCCGTTTCCAGTGCTACAATTGGTCAGTAGATCATCCCTAAACAAATACTGAGTTTATATTTCCCACCTGTATTCGGTAAAAATGCGCCCTCCTGTGCTAGGATTGGGTAGTAGTTCATTCACGCGCAGTTCTAGAACGCGTCACGACTGCCACTAGCCAATCATAGCGAGAAGGGCGTCGGCTTTTCGGAATACGGGTGGGAACAACAGCACTAGGCTGCGTCCGAAACGGCTCACTGCTTACTACACTGAACATACTACACTAATGAACTGACTTCTTTAAGTGGTTACATACTATTAAGTATGGTAGTACGTGGTTTAGGACGCAGCCTAGTATTTTCTGGCTAGGAAAAAGAACCTGTTAGGTTTATAGCACTTATAATGTCTGACCGGACCAGAAACAGTAAACTGCGAGGAATTAGCCTCAGACTTTCCCTCACAAACATTTAACCCATCCGTGCAGTGAAACACCCACATACATGCACACTAGTGACCACACACACTAGGGGGCAGTGAGCACACTTGCCCGGCGCGGTGGGCAGCCCTATCCACGGCGCCCGGGGAGCAATTGGGGGTTAGGTGCCTTGCCCAAGGACACTTCAGTCATGGACTGTCAGCCGAGGGCAACCTTCCGGTCACAGGGCTGGTTCCCTAACCTCCAGCCCACGACTGCCCCAGGCCTGGTACAGAGTGGAGGTTTAGGTCGAGGTTTAAGATCATTTTTGTGAACATAAACAGATTAAACAAATGAAAAGAGATGAGATTGTAATGGTAAATCATTCTCTACTGTTCTCAGAGCAACTTACAGCCCTCAGGAAGAGGCACTGTGGCTCACTGAGGCTCAGAGGATTTGTGTGTAATGTCATAAAAATCCCTCACCAGGATTTACCCTCATGTTCAGCATGTCATTGTCCCTGATAAAAGTGGAATCCTGTGACATCACTGTGTGTGTGTGTGTGTGTGTGTGTGTGTGTGTGTGTGTGTGAGAGAGAGACAGTTTCGTAACCATGACGGTGTATTATGTATGACTTAATAACTCACCTTTGACTGCAACATTTGATAAAAATGTCTTTTTCTGAGAACGTTACGAAACCGACTTGACCTGAGCAGCATTAACAGGATTTCTCTGTAAAGTGAATATGTTACTCCAAACATGAGGCCTGTGTGGTAAGAATGCTCCTCACCTGCTCTCCTGAGGGATGGTGTTCACTTTGCCTTTATCTGGCTGACCTGCCTGTAAAAGCAGACCTGTTTGTTATTAATAACATCATTAATGTGATGAAAATCACTGCAGTATTTCACCAGTTTTTTACAATGTTTGAATAATTCAATCGTTAAGATGTAATTCAGATATTCAGAGTTGACTGATGTGACATTGTTCATTGTAGAAAAACTTCCCGACTCAGATTTCTCTACAGTAGTGCTGATAGGAACCAGGGGTCACAATATCTACTATTCAAAATGACCAGTGAACCTGCATGTGTCGAAATTTATATGTAATAGTGATTATGGTAAAATCTAAATCTGAAAAATGGTTGTGTTTTTGGACCGTTTCGCCTTTCTATGCATGTACCTCTCCATCCTGAACGGACTGCTTAATCATACACAATTTAATTATGTAGAGATTTAGAAAAATCAGTGGAGTTCCCCTTTAATTAAGGTACAATAGCAAGTAAGGCTTTGCTCTGTTTACATTATGTTGTTTATAAGGGTGTCATGATACACTCATAAATCAATCATCAATACCAGCTTCATGATTTCTCACATTATTTTGAAAAAAGTTCTAACGAAGATAAATTATAACAGTGTCCATGCTGTTGTACAGCTTACTTAATATACATGCTGGAGTGGATTGGTGCTGGTCATTTGGAGTGGATTGGTGCTGGCCATTTGTTGTGGATTGGTGCTGGCCATTTGTTGTGGATTGGTGCTGGTCATTTGTTGTGGATTGGTGCTGGTCATTTGCAAGCTTCTGTGCAAACAATACAATAGCATTTGATGCCATAACAGAATGTCCATTCTCCACATCTCCACACTCCACGATATGCACATACATAAACACTCACTGAGCACTTTATCAGGAACACTGCAATAATACTGGGTAGGGCCTCCCTTTGCTCTGAAAACAGCACAAGATGATATTGACATATAAAAGTCAGACTCTTTTTGTTGGTTTTCTAAGTGAACAGTAGTTAACACATTTTATTTTAATGAATTGAGAAAAAAATAACACTTGATATGTGGTCTGTATAAAAGTCATGGCACATTTTATATTTTATGATTTTTTTTTTCAAATATGTTCAACACATTTAAGTTTGTTCCCTGTATAGAATTTGTTAACTTATTTCCACATAGAAAATCAGCAAAACGTCATTTGACCAGGGGTGTTCAAACTTAATAGTTTAGCATAAAACTGTATGTATAATTACAATAAACCTGAGCCGAATTGTATTTACAGTCAGTAAACCTGTTCCAGGTTGATCTCAACCATGATTACTGTCGGTCACTGGGTTCAAAATCTCAGTAGGAAATAGTCCAGTAGGAAACAGCAAATCTGTTCAGATCTTTTTAAACTAGTTAAGTGATGAGAACCCAAATGTTTTATTATATTCTTTTATAATGTAGGAATAACTCAGCCAGTTTACAGTATAGTTTGTGTATTTACTGAATTATATGCCTTAGGATGTAGTAGGCTGGAGATTTTAGGGAGTTAATCCTCTCCTAAAAAGGAAAACCTGGAAGAGAACATTTTCTTTAAAATCAGGTTTTGATGAAGATTTAGCTCAGTGTTAGTGCTGGTCAGACTGTAGCACGCTACTGACCTCTGCTGTATTTAGTTTTGATGAGAATTCGTTCACTAGCAATTAGTTGAACAATCTCTCCCCCTAGTGTTCAACATCAGAATTACATGCTGTGCTAAATAGCAGGATAAGCAAGGAGCAACACCGTAACAACTAAATGAGTCATTATGCGTTTTCTTATCTTTGGCAAATAATTTTTACTACAGTTTGCGTGGCTTTGGTTTTACTATGTATCACATATATTTATAGTTTAACTGATTTTTCAATAAAATGTGGTTAATATGGCACTAAAAGTGGAACAAGCAGCTTATGAGTGGCACAAACACACTATGGGCCGGTACCCAGAGACAGATTTAGGCTAAAGCTGGAGTAAAAAGGATTTCCAAGGGTGATTCACCACTGGCACTGATATTTAGTCTAAGAATAGAATTGATTCATATCCAGGAAAGCAACCCTAAAACTTCCTTTGGGTTTATTGATTGAAGGCCGCAGAAATAAATGGGGAAAATGCCAAGAAAAAGGAAAAGTTGTTCCAGGCGTTGCCGACAGGGGGCGACAAAGTCTAGAACGATTGGTTAACTCTATAATGTCCATATCTGACATTTTTATTTTCCTTTGGTTCATGTTCTGTGAACAAATGTAAAGACATATTTTAAAACCGACCAAACTTTATGGCTAAAAAGTGAGTTTTTATTACTTAATTTGTCAGACTGAATTCAAGCCTTTGGTCATTTGGGTTTATAGACTAAACATTAAAATTCGCACTGAAAAAAGTACTTTATTTGACAGGTCAATGTACTCATTTACATTAATACATTATTTTAAAAAAATATATATTTATCCATAATAATGCTATAATTTTCCATTATGTGCTCTTAGTGCTTTTTCCTGCCACTGTTGCTCTAAACTGGCTCATTAGCCAGAGGTCTGGACCTGAATTACTATAAAGCTAATTTGTGACATCTATTAAATTTGTTGTACATCTATAAACACTGTTAATAGAGATAAAACTCACTGTAACTTTAACAGTCGGAAGATTGACACTCTGGCACCAGTCTTTATTCACTAAAACTGCCTCAGTGTTTTTTCAGTGAGCCGGTGATATTTACATACCTAGATGCCGCGTTGGGTCCAGCCAGGCACGTCAATGGCGCCGCCATTTTAGGGCGGTCAACATCGCTGCTGGACGTCATTCTGTGCCATTACAGAGCGGCAGTTTAAGTAAAATACTGTCAAAAATTACACTATTTCAGGAATATTACTCTCAGAAAGCGGGATAGGATTATATAACGGAGGGAACGCAGCGATCCACACTCATGTTTGTGTGATGTTTGTGTAGTTAAGGTCGTGTGGTCGGTGAAGCAGAGAGAACCTGTTGATGTGATTGTTTTTCCTCTGGTTTTATATGAAGCTTATTTCATTTAATAGTCTATTCAGGTAATCTTAACTTTATGTAGTAGTTATTTATTTACAATTATGTTTAATGCTTTATAGCTAAGTAAATTATAGCATTCCTTAATCCGTGTAGATATTCATAATAGATTAACTTTAGCACCTTCTGACATGAACCTGAAGTCAGCTTCTTATTTGCCAGCTTTTTGTTCGAATTTCCACCTTAAATGGTGCATCAGCCAGCTTCTTGTTCGAATTTTCCCGTTCCACCTTAAATGGTGCATCAGCCAGCTTCTTGTTCGAATTTTCCCGTTCCGCCTTAAATGGTGCATCAGCCAGCTTCTTGTTCGAATTTTCCCGTTCCGCCTTAAATGGTGCATCAGCCAGCATCATGTTCGAATTTTCCCGTTCCACCTTAAATGGTGCAGCCTCAGGCACCAGAAAGTGACTGCTGAACCATTTAAGGTGGAACGGGAAAACTCGAACAAGAAGCTGGCGAATAGGAAGCCAACTTCAGCTTCATCCTTCTTACTGTGTTTTTTTTTGGGGGGGGTATTTTATTTTTATGTGTATTAAGATTAG